AGCTCTTTCTGCAGCCCTACAACAGTCCTTAGTACAGCCACTCGTACAACGTTCAATGCAACTTCTGCTTCAGATCTTATTGCATCTTCTGAGACACCTACTACTACATATTCGACCGTAGCTTTTATTGCAGTTCCCACTACGGCAGTAGTCAAAATGTCCGCACTGTTTCTTTTACAGCTTCTACTACTTCCTCAGCTACAACCAGTAGTGCTGATCTCATTGCAGTTCTCGGTGCGTCTCCCATTTCAGCTCTCAGCTCCTATAGCAGCTCCTAGTACAACCAGGAATACAGCTGTCACAACAGCTCCCATTACAACGTGCATGTCTGAATGCAGCTCGTACTACTGCTCTTCGGCACAGCCACTCGTACCGCTCCCGTTGCAGCCTCTACTACGTCCACTAGTACAGGTCTATCTATAGCTCTCACGACTGCCCCGCGCTACAGTTCTTAGAACAGGCCATACATAAGCTCCTGGTACAGCCAGTAGTGCAGTCCCCATCACAGCTGTTCCTTCTACATCTCTCATGGCGGCTCCGATTGAAACCCTTGCAAAAGCTTTTTCTGCATCTCTTGTTCTAGGTTTCTACAACATTCCTGCTATTACAGGTTTCCTCCTCATCTTCCTCTTCCTCCTCTTCCTTCCAATCATAATCCCTTCAAGCGCGGGGGCATTGAGAACCATAACGAAAAAACACAAAACCAGTACGACCAGTCCTGAGGAACTTTTTCTCAGGGGGAAGGGTCATCCAGGATCGATTTGATTGTTGTGTTAATGGTTTGCGGCTTTCAAGGAGGAGGAGGAGGAGGAGGAGGAGGAGGAGGAGGTGGAAGAGGCCCTGCCGCTTCTCTTCAAAAACGCTGAGGGGCAAAACCTAGCTTCTTACTGTGTCTTGACACTGGACCGATCTTCGCCTCGTCCTTCCAGGGCTTCACCGAGGAGCGGGAGGAGGGCCTGGGCCAGATAAGGCGGTGTCCCACCGCCGATCTCCGCGCGGCAGGGACGGGCCGGCGCCCCAGAGCCGCGAGGCTGCCCTCGAGCCACGGCGCTGCTGCGGAGAGGGGGGCGGGGCACGCGGCAGGGTTTGCTCCCAGACTCCAGAGGAGGAGGGGGAGGAGGAGGGGGAGGAGGAGGAGGAGGAGGAGGAGGAGGAGGAGGAGGAGGAGGAGGAGGAGGAGTAGGAGGAGGAGAGGAGGAGGAGGGAGGAGAGGAGGAGGAGAGGAGGAGGAGGAAGCCTCCGCGATCTGAAACAGTTCCCCCCGTCGACCTTCCGGGGCCGAGGGCAAACTTGGGCACCCGGGCGTCCAACGATGATGCGCCTCCCAGCGCGCGGCCCCGCGCTCGACCCCGGGGCCCCCGGGCCGGCGCTTCGCCCCGGCTCCGTCCTCGAGGGCGCCGGGGCCTTAGAGCGGCCCCTGGGTGCCGAAGTGGAGGGGAAACGTTGCGGCTGAACCTATCCTCAACCTACCCTCCTCCTCCTCCTCCTCCTCCTCCTCCTTCGGGGACGCAGCAGACGAGGCAGAAGACGGTCTTCAGCAGGTCGAGGGGGCCCTTCGGGCTCGAGACATGCAGCAGGCCATATCGATATTGCTCAAGATGGCGTGCATGCACGCGCAGCTGCTGAGGGACTTGGCGGCGTCGGAGTGGGTGTGCCTCGTCATCCCGACGCTGAGCTTCCTGGTGGTCGCAGGTCGAGGCGCAGGCAAAATGTACGCGGAGGCGGCAGCCATCGCGGCAGCGAAGCCCCATCTGGGGCCACCACATTTGTACATAGCGCGCGGCGTGTTCAAGTCGATGGTCGAATCAGAGAAGCTACAGAAGTCGGGGACTCAGGCGTACCAAACCCTGGTCCTTTTTTACGAGAAGTTCGTGTCGATCAGCTCGGCTGCGGAGCTAGGATTAGTGATCAGGCACTTCCGTCTGAAGAAGTGCTACAACGAGGAGTACACCCGACTGCAGTTCGCGATCGGCGGGGACGTCACGGTGCAGCTGGCGGACGCTCAAGAGGGGTCGCCCGAGCGTCATCTGAGCAAGCTGGAGGTGGAGCAGTCGATCATCAAGCTAGCTCAGCTGGAGGACGCGAAGCTCAAGCTCGGGACCGCCCCTCAGGGGCACTTGGAGACCATGGCGCAGCGCATCCTCGACAAGACGAAGCAAAAGGGCAAGGGCAAGGGCGCGAAGTAAGTCAGCCAGATTCGGGCCCCGCTCCGTGGGAGGCTCGTCGGGCTGCCATCTTTGCACGCATCAGAGCACGGGAACTCTCGCTAAATGACACTACATGACGGACTTTGGACAGCACCTCCATATTCTGAGTTCACGAACTATCTTTCCGAAGGAGCGTTGTGTACCGGAGGATTTGAGGTTTTTTGGACTCCCGCCGACTCGTGCTTCAAGTCTATGAGACGGAACCCCTCGTCTTACTTGACGGCTCATACATGACATTACATACGCTGACGTGCTGTTCCATACGTCCTCCTCGAATCCACGTACCTGATGCTGACGACCTAGACGGCTGGGTCAATTAATATTCAGACGGTCGCGATGCCTCGCGATTCCGCTCGTCGCCACGCCTCTTTGCTGCACTGTAGGTTTCCTCTCTTCTGAGCGCACCGCTCGACTCTGGCGTCAGCGCGCTCTTTTTCTTTCTTTGATGATGTTATGTGGTGTATTCGCGGCTTTGTCCTTACGGGATCGGGCCCGACACCACCTGTCGAACTTCACGCGGGTCTCCGCCAAGTTCGTCCCCACGGCTTTGTGTGCACGCCCGCGCTGGCCACCACCGAGTACCTGCCTGCCACGTGACCTCGATGTCCGAGGCCCCGCCCCTCTAGGCTGCGCCGAGCCGCCTTTTCTCCCCACCTCTTCCTCGGAGTGGCTATCTTCCAGAATTCGGGGACCCACACTCCCCTCCGCTGCTTCCTCTGCTCTTCTCCTGCTTTGGCCTCGCCCTCTCGCCTCGTCGTCCTCTCTTCCGCGTCGTTCCCCTTTCGTCCGTCGCTTTGCTGGAGTGTGGGTCCCTCCTCGGGGCGGGGCGGGTGCCTCGGAGGCCTGCCCGTCGCCCGCAGCGACGTGGGCTCGGCACTGGGAGGCCAGTGGGGTGTCCCCCCCAGCCCTCGAGGGGTCTCACGATTTGCGACTGCCTGGGTACGAGCACGTACGACAGGCTGCACGGCGCGCGCTACTCACGACCTCATCGCACTCGCTCGATGATCGTTCGAGGTAGGGCTCTGATTGCACGGGTTCACGCGCGGTCAGGGATCGGCACAGACCACGCGCAAGGCCGAGTCTTTTTCTTCTTCTTCCTCCTCCTCCTCCTCCTCCTCCTCCTCCTCCTCCTCCTCCTCCTCCTCCCCCTCCTCCTCCTCCTCCCCCTCCTCCTCCTCCTCCTCCCCCCCTCCTCTTCGCCTTTCCCCCCTGTGGTCCCCCTCGTCTGGGAGCGACGGAGAGCCGGGCACGCCGCGCAGGCCGGCGCCGCGGCCCCCGACACGATCGCCGACTTCGCCAGCGGCATCCTCAGCGCCGTCGGCGCCGTCATCGACCTCCGGGGGGCGGGCGCCTCGGGCCATGGGCCGGGGCAGCGGGAGAGCGCAGCAGGAGCAGCAGGAGGAGGAGCAACAGCAGCACAGGGCGAGGATGATTTGGCGCAGGATGTTGAGGATCATGAAAACAAGGAAGAGGGTGATGAGGATGATGAGGGTGATGGGGCTGATGAGGATGATGGGGATGAGGATGATGAGTATGAGAGGGGGGGGACGAGGAGGAGGACGATGGCAATGATGAGGATTATGAAGATGATCAAGATGATGAGGATGAAAACGAAGATGAGGGTGAGGATGAGGATGAGGATGAGGACGATGATGAGGATGATGATGATGATGATGATGATGATGATGATGACGAGGGCAAGTGTAAACCCAAGACGCGTCAATGATGCTACAAAATCCCTCTCTCCAAGTTTCCTCTTCACAGCTTCCTGCAAGAATTTACGATCACTGCCGGACGTGCCCCATTGGAAAACATGTGTCTGAAACCTCTCAATCGTGCCAAATCAAAGTTCTCAGGATTTCAACGCCACGAATCAAAGCGATGGTTGTGCCCTGGCAGTCCTAAATCGCTCCGGAACGCCATCTCTGAAACTTCATCGCCGCGAATCAACATGATTGTTGCGCCCTGACGATCGCACCAGAGCAACATTCCTGGGACTTCAACCATACGAATCCTTGGAACTGCCGCTGAATCGTAAGACGAATGCGCGCGACGAGAAAACAAGAGCCACAGTCTGATACGGAGCCGCCCTCCATGCTTGAAGCTGCTGCACACTTGCGTAACGAATGTGCGCGGCGCTCAGGCGAAAGCCACATTTTGAAGACGCATCGCCGTCCATTTTTCAAGGGCAAAAACAACGCCCCTACCCTGGTTTACGAGGCGCTGTGCGCTGCCACTCCTGTGGGCTGACAGGGTAAACCTTGCGTCATGTGCCGCGTCCTGGCGGCTCTAGGCTTTGGGGGTTCCCAGGAGGTTTACAGACCACGCACTTGTAACCTAGGGTAGGGTCGTTTTTACCTAAGAGCGCAGACTGATAGGTTTCTAGTGGTCTCAAAAGAGAGCATCATGACTCCTCAGGGGGGTCGGGGCGGGACCCGGGGCGGCTGCCGCCGAAGCCGAAATCGCTTTGGACATCCTCGCAAAATCGCTCTTGGCGCTCCCAGAACTCCATTCCCGGGCCACATTTTGAATGCCCGGAGCCAACTGTAGGCCACTTCGTGCTCTTCGACTTCCCAGAACTCCATTCCCGGGCCACATTTTGGATGCCCGGAGCCAACTGTAGGCCACTTCGTGCTCTTCGAGTTCCCAGAACTCCATTCCCGGGCCACATTTTGGATGCCCGGAGCCAACTGTAGGCCACTTCGTGCTCTTCGATTTCCCAGAACTCCATTCCTGGGCATGATTTTGAATGCCCGGAGCCAACTGTAGGCCACTTCGTGTTCTTCGAGTTCCCAGAACTCCATTCCCGGGCCACATTTTGAATGCTGAGGCAGGCTGAGGCTGAGGCTGAGGCAGGCTGATGCTGAGGCAGGCTGAGGCTGAGGCTGAGGCTGAGGCTGAGGCTGAGGCTGAGGCTGAGGCAGGCCTGAGGCTGAGGCTGAAGCAGGCTGAGGCTGAGGCTGAGGCAGGCTGAGGCTGAGGCTGAGCAGGCTGATGCTGAGGCAGGCTGAGGCTGAGGCTGAGGCTGATGCAGGCTGAGGCTGAGGCAGCTGAGGCTGACGCCGAGGCTGAAGGCAGACTGAGCTGAGGCTGAGCAGGCTGAGGCTGAGGCTGAGGCAGGCTGAGGCTGAGGCAGGCTGAGGCTGTGACTGTGACTGCCGTTGCCACTGCGACTGTCATCGCGAATGCGACTACGACTGCGAGAACAGCAGAATTCTACAACTGGATTCTCATCTGAATCTTAAGGGGAATGCTTCCAGATATGCTCCTACACATCGCTGCTAGGTTGCTTTGCCGGGATAATTTCATCCCTCAAATTTTTGAAACTTCTGCAACCGCGGCCCGAAGGCGAGAGCCGCGTGTTGGAAACGGACCGCCCTCCGTCCTGGAAGCTGTTGCAAGTTTTCAAGCTTCGGGGCATACTTGGTACAGAAGGCTCGGGCGAAACGCGCGGCCTGCCCTACTGACACGTCTGGGGGACGCGACAGGGAGGAGGAGGAGGAGGAGGAGGAGGAGGAGGAGGAGAAGGAGGAGAGGGAGGAGAAGGAGGAAGAGGAGAGGAGCGAAAGACGAGGAAGTAGGAGGAGGATTAGGCGGATGCAGAAGATGAGGACGACGAGGAGGAGGAGGAGTACAAGAAATGGAGACGGAGGAGCGGGAGGAGGAGGAGGAGGAGGATGATGATAATGATGATAATGATGATAATGATGATGATAATGATGATGATGATGATGATGATGATGATGATGATGATGATGATGATGATGATGATGATGATGATGATGATGATGATAAGGAGGAGGAGGAGGAGGAGGAGGAGGAGAAGGAACCGGAGGAGGATGACAAGGAAGAGGAGGAGGAGAAGGAGGAGGACGAGAAGAACGGTCGCGGAGGAGGAAGAAGAGGAGGAGGAGGGGGAGGAAGAGGACGAGACGCACGCTGGAGGAGGAGAGAGAGAGAGAGAGAGAAAGAAAGAAAGAAACAACAAAGAAAGAGAGAGAGAGAGAGAGAGATACAGACAGGAGCTTACGAGAAGTGCTCGCACGCACCCCGCCCCCTTAACAGAATTGTTGGGGGTGGGATGCGTTGGTGCGCGCTCGCGATGCTCGTATCCCAGCCCTCCCTCGCCTCTATCCCCACGCCGCCCTTGTAAAAGGGGGAAGGTAACATGCGTCGCATTCCCAGCGGATGTATCGCTGTGCGATTACCGGCGAAGGCGGACGACCAACGACGAGGGATTACGAACGGGCGATGAGACACGAACGACGGACGACGAACGAACGACGGCGGCGAACGACGAGCGAAGAACAACGAATGGCGACCAGGACGACGAGCGACGACGAGCGACGAACGGCGAACGACGACGAACGAGCGACGAGCGTCGAACGACGCCGCACATGCGGGCGTATCCCAACGCGGCGAGGAGGAGGAGGAGGAGGAGGAGGAGGAGGAGGAGGAGGAGGAGGAGGGGTGGGTGGGTGGGGTTTGAGGAGGGGTTTGCACGAGACTTCTCGGCCTGCGCGTCGCATCGGCGGCGGCCCAGGCGCTCGACTCCTCGCGCGGGGCCGACGCGCGGCGCCCACGCAGCGCCCTCGCGCGGGCGGTGCGGCGCTCGTGCGCGCGGGCGGGGCCTCGCGCGTCGCATCCGCGACCCGGAACGCAGGTGCTCGCGCGGGGGTCGGCGCGCGGCGCTACGGTGAGCGGCTCGAGTAAGGAACACCTGCTTCTCAGAATGGGCTCGGTCGTTCCCTGGGCTTGCATGCGTGATCCCTCGTTCCGTATGCGCTTTTCATGATTGCTCGTTCCTGATGCATCGTTCCTGGAAAAACAAAGGGGCCTCGTTCCTTATGTCTCGTTCCTTGGGTCCACGCCTCGACTGTGGGCAGATTCCTCGCGCGAGCGGGCAGCGCTCGAGCGCGCGGGCGAGGGCTCGCGCGGCGCATCGCCGGCGGCCTCGGGGCGCGATGCTCTCTCGCGCG